CTCCCCTCTAGGCCTTTGCGCATTTTCTCTACTTGGAATACTCCTTACCTCTACAGTACCATGGGAAATCCTAGTTGTTTAACCTCTATGAACCTCTGCTCTAAAGCAGCAAAACTGAGAAAATAATAGCTATTAAGAGATCACGTGATAATGAATGTATGCAATGCCTGGTCACTAGAAATGTTCAATGATTATTAACTTACTATGTTACTCCTTCTTTAAGGCTGGCTGGAATATTACTTCCTCTGCTAAACCTTAATACTTCCAGGCATATTATTATTATTAATTAGTCATTTTTAATTACTCCCTCCTCATTTTTAATCATGGCTGATTATTCATACCTTTATTATGGCACACACTAGTTTTTATTTTAATGGTTTTTTACCCATCCCTCTGGCCACTAGACATGACCTCCTCCTTCTGGGCGAGAAGCATAGGGGCACCTGTCTTTCTGTCACTTGGACCTAACATTCAGTGGGTGTTGCATAAATGGCAAACAGAACATGGTAGCCAGCTGCCCTTCCCCTGGCCATATATTTATCTACAAATACATATAGAAGCCAGGCACGGTGGCTTATGCCTGAAATCCCAGCACTTTGGGAGGCCAAGGTGGGCGGATCACTTGAGATCAGGAGTTTGAGATCAGCCTGGCCAACATGATGAAACCCTGTCTACTAAAAATACAAAAATTAGTCAGGTGTGGTGGCATGTGCATGTAGTCCCAGCTACTTGGGAGGCTGAGGCAGGAGAATTGCTTGAACCCGGGAGGCAGAGGTTGCAGTGAGCAGAGATCCTGCCATTGCACTTCAGCCTGGGAGACACAGTGAGACTCAGTCTCAAAAAAAAAGAAAAAGGTCTCACTTTGTTGCCCAGGCTGGTCTTGAACTCCCGGCCTGAAATGACTGTCCCCCCTCAGCCTCCCAAAGTGTTGGGATTACATGCATGAGCCACCATGCTTGGCAGCCATAGATCTTTAGCATTTACCTCCTCCTCCTCTGCTTTGCCTATTTTTTTCTTCTTTTTTCCCCCAGTGCCCTCGTTTTAACAGTACTATACCTATTATATTTCCAAAAAGGCTGAGCCAAGCTTTCACAGAGAACCTGCAAGTTAGGGCCTGAAAGGCTGCAGGGGATGGCAGCTGCTTAAAGGACCAGTTAACTACCTCTGGGAGGCCGCTAAGCTGGGGGAGAGAGGAAGGGCCAGATAGAGGCAGCAGAACATAAGCTGGTGCAGCTTAGTTCAGTGCTCACTTTTTCAAGGCCAGCACTTAGCTGCTTTCCCCTGGCAGCTTAGGCAGAGGGCAAACATGCGTGTCCTTGGAGCCACTCCCATGCCCTCAGAGGTAGTTGACACAACCAAGTGGGCCTCCTTCAGGAACCTAGATCAGAGCCTCTCTCTACCCTGCATTGGGCTGTCTCTTGCTGCAACAAGGTTTGGTAGCACCTTGCTCATGGCACCTAGGCAAGTGCCCTCCACCTGACAGGTGTTGACAAATGTCCTGGGGTTCAGGTCACTGCTGTGCCTCAACCTTCTGAGAAGATCCTTGTCCTTCCCTTCCCTAAAATCCTGGGTCCTGTGGTCCTCTGGGGAAGACCTCCAGGGCCCAGCTTTTTTTCTTGGCTAAATGCCAGGAATAAAGGAAAAAGAATTCCCACCAGGTCATAAACCTTACACTAGAGCAAAATCAGAACTTGGACTGGATGCTTTGAAGCTTCTTCTTATAACATCTTTTTTTTTTTTTTTTTTTGAGATGGTGTCTCACACTGTCACCCAGGCCGGAGTGCAGTGGTGTGATCTTGGCTCACTGCAAACTTTGCATCCCAGATTCAAATAATTCTCCTGCTTCAGCCTCCCGAGTAACTGGGATTACAGGTGCCTGCCATCATGCCTGGCTAATTTTTTATATTTTTAGTAGAGACAGAGTTTTACCATTTTGGCCAAGCTGGTCTTGAACTCCTAACCTTGTGATTCACCCACCTCGGCGTCCCAAAGTGCTGGGATTACAGGCGTGAGCCACCGCACCGGGCTAATGTTTGAAATTCTTAAGATGACCTGGGTGCTGCAACACATACCCTTTGGCTTTAGGTTCACGGAATCCATGCCTGAATCTGCCATATGCAGCTTTTAGGTGCCTGATTCCACCAGTCCCAGTGGCATTTCATCTTTGAGCCTTGGCACTCAAGTTATACTTCCTCCTGCGCTTGGCAGGGTAGCCACATTTGCCACAGGTTGACTTCTAAAGGTGGTAGGCCTTAGAGCCACAGTGGCAGTGCAATGTGCTCGTCTTATCGCAAGGCTTGCCAAACAATGACATTCCCTTTGTCATCTTGCCTCTGTACCCGAGACCAAAGAGCGGGAAATTCTTACCAACCTCTTGGCAAAAACTAGATTCCTGGAATTTCACAGGAAAGACAGGCAAACACCTTCCCTGGGGGCTGCTTCTTGATTATTATTGGAGGGCAGTGACCTGGTAGGAAACCAGCATGGCATCCCCAGGGAGTGTGCCGTTCTGTTTGTGTAACAGCATTACCAGTTAATCCATTGCTCCCTTGGTGATACATCAGTCACCAGTTCAACCTCAGTTCCATTTCCTCTTTGGCCATGAGATTCCTTGGCTCTGCTTTTCAGGTTCTGTCACTGCCTTGCTGTGGGCAACCTTGAGGGAGTTACTTAAGGTGAGAAGGCTGAGGACAAGCAGCAGATTGCAGTAGACCAGTAGCTTTCAGCTGGGCATGATTTTGCCCGGCAGCCAGGGAGCATTTGTCAATATTCTGACATTTGGCAATTTGCTGCCACAACTTAGGTGGGGACATCAGTTGCTATTGGCATTGAACAGGTTGAGGTTAGGGATTATAAACATTAACTACACAAGGAAGCCCCTCCAGAACAGTGAATTATCTGGCCCCAAATATGCCAAGGTTAAGAAATCCTGGGGTAGAAAGGCCATGATTGTATAAATGTCAGACAGACTGGGATTGGAATCACTGACGTCCTGTGTGACCTTGGGCAAGTCACCGCACTTGTGCAAACTTGAGATCAGTCAGCATAAAGCTAAGAACACAGGTTCTGGCGTTTGAATGCCAGTTTTACTAACCAGCTGTTTTAACTTTAGGCAGAATAATGCCTCACCTCTCTGAGCCTCTTCATTTGCTTACTTACCTGTAAACTGACTTACTCTGTAGGGATGTTGGAAGTTAATCATGGGAAGTGCTTAGCACTGTGTGTGACACACAGGTGCTCGAATGTTAGCCCACGTTCTTAGAGCTCACACCAGCCTCCTTTTTTCTCTTGGAACTTCTATAGCACAGAGCTCATGTACACACATACACAATGATGTAGGGCATGGTGTACTTATTTCTTCTCTGTTGGTGCCCCAAACTCCTTGAGAGCAAGGATGTTAGAATTAGATTTCTTTGCTTCCCCTAAGGTCCCTAGGAAGATGGTTAAATGGCTGTCTTTAATTTGCATGTAAATAGAATCCAAATTTTCTGTATGTTTTAACCCTCTTTGCTAGTTGCCTTTCATTAAGAAACACCAATCAGATATGTTCTTGGTTTCACTATTTCACATTTTGCAGTTGAGGTATGAGATTTTCACAGAATGGATCCCACTTTTAAGTTAGTACTCCTTTTGAAGCCATCCAATTTGAGACAGACCACATTCCCAGCATCCATACGTGATTTCTCTGTCCATGGCTTGCTCCTGCAAGGGCTTAGAGAAGAGCAACTGTTGATATGTCAACTTAACTATGTTTTACATGGGTTTTCAGTCCCACTTTAGCCAAGAGAGGCAAGACTGGTGGGCACAGACTTTGAGAACCCGAGGAAGATGCTGCACAAAGCTCTCTAAGGAATTCATTAGTTGGTACATGCCCCCAAATACTCTTATCCCTAGCAAAACTAAGATTATTACTTCTCCAAGAACCAGGACTGTGTACTTTACCTGCTTTATTTAAGGACATTTATCTCTGAGAAAAGCTAATTGATAGTGAAAATGAAACCCATATAACTGGGTCTAAACACAGGCAAATAGAAACCTACCTCTAACTTTAACCCTTTAACCTGCTGTACAAGTTCTCTGTAACTGTTTCCCTTTCAGCGCCACCTGAATTGTTGTGTGACCAGAATGAAATTAGATGGGACAAAAAAGAAAAAAGAAAAAACAGAATGAAATTAGATGGGACATAAAAGAAAAAACAGAATGAAATTAGATGGGACAACACTGCAGTTAAGGTTTAAGCTGGCCTGGGGGGAAAAATCCCCAGTCTGCCACTTACCAGCTCTGTGATACCGGGTAAGTTATTTTGCTTCCCCAAACCCTGGGTCTGTCATTTGCAAAACAGGCTTAAAGTTGTGTTTGTAACTCAGGGTGGTTGAGATAACAATGTAAAATCCTTGGTGCAAATTAAGCCCTTCAAAAGTGTAACCTATTAATATGCAGTTGTCCTTTGCTATCTGTGGCAGACTGGCTCCAGGACCCCAGTGGATACCAAAATCCACAGATGCTCAAGTTTCTTATATAAAATGGTGTAGTATTTGCATATAACCTATGCACATCCTCCCATATACTTTAAGTCATCTCTAGATTACTTATAATACCTAATACAGGTAAATGCTATATAAATAATTGTTAAACTGTATTGTTTAGGGAATAATGAAAAGAAAAAAAAAAGGCTATCCATGTCCAGTACACACACAACCATTCACTTTTTTTTCCTGAGTATTTTCTGTCTACTGTTGGTTGAATCCACAAATATGGAATCCATAGATACAGAGGGTCAACTATACTAAATTTGAAGGGAAAAAAACAAAAATCTCATTACTGAGACAAACCCACATTCGTCCTGGGAGAACATGAGAATGCTCCATATTCTTACAATCGTAGGAGTGCTACTTCCCAGCCCTGAGGAGTCCCAATCACCAGTGGCTGACCAAATTCCCTCTCCTCACCCTTCTACAAAGGCCGTCCTAAAGGTCAAAGGACAGAGGCACAGACATGGGTTTAGAGAAACATTGTGTTTAATGGTAAAGCTTAGCACACCCCAGCACCAGGAATGGTATGGAGTCGCCGCAGCAGGGACAGGCAGGTGACCCCACAGAGCCTCACATGGCGAAGAGGATGAGGAAGGCGACCATCAAACAGAAGAGCCCCATGGCCTCAGACAGGGCAAAACCCAGAATGGCGTAGGAGAAGAGCTGCTGCTTGAGAGACGGGTTCCTGCCAGGGACAGAGATCATTGCCAGTTCAGGGAGAGAAAGGGGTGAGGGTAGGGGAGGACACAGGAGGATGAGGTGAATGGGAGTGCTGCAGCTGAGAGGGCCTACCCTGCACATATCCTGGGGATTTGGATGGACAAGCAGAGGGGACCAAGCTGGTAAGTTTAAGTGAGCCAGGCTGGACACATGTTTTCTCTGGAGAAACTGTGATGTAGATGAAGTAATCCTTAAGGCTCCTGAAGGGAGCTCCTCCAGCTGAGGCCTCCCCAAACAGGGTGGAATTTACAGTGGGAGATGCTCTAGGCCACCCAAACTTACCTGGCATATCCAATGATCAAGCTGCCAAACACCGTTCCAATGCCAGCCCCTGAACCAGCCACACCAACTGTGGCTGCCCCAGCACCAATAAACTTGGCTGCTGTGTCAATGTCCCGGGAGACAACACTGGTCTGGAACCCCCGTCGGGCCACCTGGAGTGGGGAGCTGCTGTAGGAAGGCTAGAAAGAGAAGCAAGGCAGAAGAGATGGCATAAAGATAGCATGGCATAAGGAAAGGTGGCTGACTCCACCTCCCTCACCCCACCCACCTGAGCTCTGAAACTGTTGGCAAACTGCCTGGTAAATGCAGAATACTCTGATTGCAGAGTATGCTGGGAACTAGTCTTAGCGTCTGTTGTCAGACAGGACTAGGAAAATTTTATGAGTTAGGCAGACTTCACTTTTATAAGTTTCTCACCTATAAGGCTTACCTTGGGGGACTTAGAACTATTAAAGCACACAGGTTCTCCAACTCTCCTCCCACTTTGGCCTAAAGGCAACTTAACCTGAAGGACCCCTGTCTGGGGACATTCCTTGATTTAAAAAAAATTAATAAATTGGCCAGGCGTGGTGGCTCACGCCTGTAATCCAAGGACTTTGGAGGCCAAGGCGGGCGGATCACCTGAGGTCAGGAGTTCAAGACCAGCCTGACCAACATGGTGAAACCCCGTCTTAAAAAAAATAATAATAATTAATTAATTAATGGGTTTTTTTAAGTCAGGGTCTTGCTCCGTCACCCAGCCTGGAGTGCAGTGGTACAGTCATAGCTCACTGCAGTCTCGACCTCTGGGATTAAGCAATCCTTTCATCTCAGCCCCTGAGTAGCTGGGACTACAGGCACATGCCACCATGCTTGGTTAATTTTTTAAATTTTTTTGTAGATATGGGGTCTCACTGTGTTGCCTAGGCTGGTCTCGAACTCCTGGGCTCAAGTTATCCTCTTGCCCCAGGCTCTCAAAGAGCTGTGATTATAGGTGTAAGCCACCACACTGGGCCTTGGGAACATTCCTAAGAGGGCCATTCCTTCTTTACCTGTTTAGATGAATTCTCTGGGCTATTCAAGAAGGAGGCAGACACAGGCCTGATTAGACCCCTGGTACAACAGCGGATCTGTAAAATCAGAAAGCCACATCCTACCAAATCAGTCAAGGAAAAAAAATCCTACAGATTTCATAAACAAAGTAAGTTCAATCTATGTCAAAGTCAATTTATTCCTGTTTCTATTGGATAGGCCTGCCCCAGAGACAGCTCTCTTGACAGCCTGATGTAGTCAGCAGTGAGCCTTCACCATTCAAAACCATAGCAAAGTTCACTTTCTTTGGGCACAGCCTTAATTGGTTTCCCAGAATGGAAAAGAACCCACACTAATACCAAAGCAGATACAGGAAGGGTTTATACCCAGATCACCAAGTAATCAGATGGGGGAAATTTTATTCTGCTATATACACTCACTCCTACACACCCTAAATGGGGTGGGCCACTCAGCCCGGGAAACTGAATGGAATAGCCATCCAAGGACAGCCATCTGTAACATGGCTTTTTTGAAATAATTTTTAGTTCGGTGGTTCTCAAACTTGGCTGCACCATAGAATCATCTGAAGAAGCCTAAAAAATACAGATGCCTGGGTTCCACCCCAGTTCCCAAAGTCTGATGCAAATGGTCTAAGGTGCAGCCTAGGAATCAGGATTTTTAAAAGCTCCCTGGATAATTCTAACGTGCAGCCACCGTTGATAACCACTGTTTTAGTGTGGGCTGTCTCTATGGTCAAGCCAGACTGGGGATAAAGATCAAATCCAGACTCTCTGACCACATTCCAAAGCCAAGATAGCTTGGTTCACAGGCCCAGATAAAGGGGTTACCGTCATATTCTACAGCCTCCTCAAAGAGCCTATATCATCAGAACGCCAAGCTCCTCTCGGCTCATTCATTAAGCACTGCTGATGGCGCCCACACCTCACACCTGGTACTACAGAGCACGGCGGCGCGGCAGCTTACCAGAGCCGGAGAAATGAGTAATGCCCCGGTGGTCTGCATTTTTTCAGTCTGCAGAGGAGGGGGAAAAAAGTAATAATAATCCCATTGACAGCCTGGTTGTTGGCTTACAGTGACGACCTTTGGTCGTCCTCTTCACCCCCGCCCGTCCTCCCTAGACCACGCTCTTCCTTGCACTATGCCCCAGCTGAAGAGGGCATCAGAGGTCAGAGGGACAGAGCAGCGGGTTTTCAAGGAAAAGTCATGGAGATCGGAAGTCAAGGAAAGAGGCCCAAGCCCCAGGAGGGAAATGTTGCGAAAGGAAATGGTCTCCCGTGAAGACTGGAGGTGGACATTGGGCATGTGTCGCTCAAGGTCCTGCCCATCTTACACAGCTGTCCTCGACCTGCCCCAGCCGAGGCAGTTAATCGTTCATTACCGTTGATGACTAACATTAATTGATAAGGCCATGTATAGATTGCCATCGCCTCTCCCAGCACAGGGGGAAATACACCTCCACATTGCCCAGCCCACAACCCTGCCGATCGCTGACTCCCGGCCCCAAGTCACCTGCACTCCCACTGCCCTGCAGCCCCTGCTCGGCCGACAGCGCTCGCCCGGCTCAAGGTGACAGACTCACCTCCCAGCTTTAGCCCTAGGTCTCAGCGCTCAGCTTCCCCCACCCACGTGTCCTGGGCTTCCTTCATTCTCATTGGCCGTAATATCCCCGCATTCTCATTGGTTTGCGTCATCAATTCCTCCACTCATATTGGCTTTCCGCAGCTTCTTCCTCTCTCTCCACAGGACCTTCGTGGCAATTCCCGCCTCCATGCAGATAGAGGCGGGGCTTTCCTAGAGATCTGGATTACGATTGGTCAATCCCTGAAACGCTAGACCATAGAGTTGCTGGGACTCAGAGATTCCATAACCTCGCGCACAAGATGGCGACCAAGGTGGACGCTGTGGAAAAGGGCGTGGGAGAGATGACGCGACGTGTGACGCAGCCAGACACATGACTTTGGCCCTGAGCCTCCATTCGGGCGCTCGGGCCACGGGGCGCGTTGCATATTGGGATTTGTAGTTGTACCAGGGGGGTCCCCAACCAAGGACATTCCCGCGAGACAGTCGAGGCAGCGAGAGCCGAAGCCTTTGCAGTAATTCCCACTGTCGCGGGTTGTGGAAACTTCGCTTTCGCGATAGAGTATAAAGGCCAAGTGGAAAGTCCCCAGGCGGTGAGCGCACTTTTGTGGGCCTCTGCCAGTGTCCAGCAGTCATGGACTAGCATCCAGATGGCTTTTTTTTTTTAATTAAAAAAATTTTAAAAAATATATTTTAAAGCAGGGGCGTATGGACTTTCTTTTCATTTTTAAAAATATTTTTAAATTTTGGCAGGGCTCGGTGGCTCCTGCCTGTAATCCCAACACTTTGGGAGGCCGAGGTGGGCAGATCACGAGGTCAAGAGATCGAGACCATCCTGGCCAACATGGTGAAACCCCGTCTCTACTAAAATATACAAAAATTAGCTGGGCGTGGTGGCGCGCACCTCTGGTCCCGCTGCTTGGGAGGCTGAGGCAGGAGAATTGCTTGAACCCGGTAGGCGGAGGTTCCCGTGAGCCGAGATCACGCCACTACACTCTAGCCTGGCGCCTGGCGACAGAGCGAGACTTTGTCTCAAAAAAAAAAAAACAAAAAACAAAAAAACTTTTAAATTTTATATATATTTTTAAACTAAGGACAGATGGCTTTTAAAAAAATTTGTTGGGCCAGGCACGGTGGCTTATGCCTGTAATCCCAGCACTTTGGGAGGCCGAGGCGGGCGGATCACGAGGTCAGGAGTTCGAGACCAGCCTGGCCAACATGGTGAAACCCTGTCTCTACTAAAAATACAAAAATTAGCCGTCTCTGGTGGCTCATGCCTGTAATCCCAGCTACTCGGGAGGCAGAGGCAGGAGAATCACCTGAACCCTGGAGGCGGAGGTTGCAGTGAGCAAAGATCGTGCCACTGCACTCCAGCCTGGGCAACAGAGCAAGACTCCGCCTCCGGGGGAAAAATTGTTTATTTTGTAAAAACAGCACTGAAAAGGTGAAATATCCCTATAGAAAATTGAGCAAAGGATAGGAACAGGGAATTCACTAAGGAAGAAACACGAATTGCAGAAACGAATGTCAGCCTTCCTAATCAAAGAAATAGAAATTTAAGCACACCACCTCCTACTGCTCAAAAGAGCAGAGTTCTTTTTATGAATGTGAGCCACTCGCTCTCCTATATTGCTGGTGAAAGGATGAATTAGAAAACCTTCCTTGAAAGCAGTTTGGCAATATCTATTTTTATTCAAAGGCTATGAATGGGCCATCCTCTTTGACCCAGTAATTCTTGAGTAATTGAGAGCCTTTAAGCTCTCCATCCGCTTTCACCCAGTAACATCACTTCTAGGAATTTATTTTGAAGAATCAGAAATGCAAAGATTCGGGATAGGGGCGGTGGCTCACACCTGTAATCCCAGTACTTTGAGTGGCCAAGGCGGGTGGATCACAAGTTCAGGAGTTGGAGACCAGCCTGGCCAACATGGCGAAACCCCCGTCTCTACCAAAAATACAAAAAATTAGCTGGGCATAATGGCACATGCCTGTAATCCCAGCTACTCTGGAGGCTGAGGCAGGAGAATTGCTTGAACCTGGGAGGTGGAGGTTGCAGTGAACCCAGATTGTACCACTGCACTCCAGCCTGG